CATGTCGTTAAAAGAGTGACTCTAGCGGTATAAATCTGGAATAAAATACACAACAAGGTAGCGTGACATGATATGGTATTTGTCTGCACCTCGGGAGCAACATAATTTGGAGTTCCACACGTAGTATGGAGAAGTCCATCAGCCTGTCAACACAACCATTTTGTGTGATACAAATCAACTCTCACAAGATGCATTTAAATTTCTTCAAGTATACATTAACATGATAAGAATAAGTTCAAATCTATAATCATTAACATAATTTTGAACAAGCAGAGCAGTAACCAAGACTGGGTACAACTCAATTTTCATTTGATGAATACTAACTCTAATTTTGGCATATCAATTACAGAACCACATCTGGGCCATCATAATATAGAGATCGCAGAATCAAACAAGATCAAGAAGATCCAATTCCCGAATCTGAATTGTCAACTATCAATTTCACTAGAAGAAAACGGCCAATACAAAATACACACATACATGTAAATACAAACTTTCAAGTACTACAATTAGTATGAAAATGTGTATTATTTGAATATGAATTTAAGAGAAACATGTTTTCATTCAACACCCTATAACTAAAAAGTAATGTCCCTTTCTGATCCTAATTACCATTAGCATTAGACTTAACAGAAACAAGAACACTGTAATGAACAATGATAAACAACAAAGAAAAGCAAAGGTCAGAAGGACATTACCCTGACTTGTTGAGAAAGCGCACTCAACCCAAAATCGGAAACTTTAAGGTTCCCATAAGTATCTAAGAGTAGATTCTCTGGCTGCAGATAGTTCATGAATAGGTATGAAATTCACGCTAGAGGTTCTTTCTTGTTTTATCAAGACTCAAATAAGCTGTTCCAGCAGCTGCATATACATAAATCAGTTAATGGCACCTTACCTTCAGGTCTCTATGGTAGACACCCCTGCTATGGCAATAATCAACAGCGTTTATAAGCTGTTGGAAATATCTACGTGCTTCACTTTCACTCATCCGTCCATGGTTTACCTTCATAATATAGAATCCATTAGAACATATACAACAGTTTTTCTACATGATGGAATTTATGTACTATTGGCCAAAAAAGCCCTATCTACAACAATAGCAATGAAGGGCAATGATGTAGGGAGGAGCAAGGATCATATTCAGGTGGACCAACACTACTCTAATATCTTCAGCTAAAAAGGATTGATGAACTATAAAGCTGAGTCAATGAGTCGTAATTTTTTCTTCTTTTCACAATAAGTTCTTGAACCAATTAAAAATGAAAAGAACCCTGTAGATGAAACAGGCACTAATTCATTTACTAACAATTTTGTCAAAGAGCTCTCCCCCAGTCACAAACTCCAAAACAATATATATTTTTGTCCTGCTTCCCATGACCTGTGAAATAAAATGTTGTAATGTTAGAAATGGAATGTAGCAGCAAGTAAGTGTTGAGAATTAATTTGGTTTCTAATTTCTGATATGCTTCCTTGGATAAAGGGCAGCAGTTTCAGAAAGCATCCTTTGGCATTAAATATTTAGTAAGGATATTTTGAGAAATTTCTGGAATGGTAAGCAGTTTAGCACTGAGCCAAATTTTTAGTGAAACAGACAGTTTTTGAAAGTTCTATACTAGACTCAATCTTACAATCCACCGCTTCTAAAATAAAGACATGAATAAAGGAAAAAATCATTTAAAAAGTGAAACACAAGATATTACACATGTATGAGAAGGAGAGGACCTCAAATAGTTGAACAACATTTGGATGCTTGATTAACTTCATGGTAGCTATTTCCCTCCTGATCTGAAAAACAAACATTAAAATCATCTAAGAGACTTGCGTCATTATGTGAGGCTCAAAAGCAACAACCACTATAAAACAATAATGATGTATTTGAAATTATATGATAGCCTCCCACTGTTCATTAAAAACTAGACTTTGTCAATGTCATGAAAGGTTTTGGGAAATGTGAGAAAGTAAATATGTCATAAAATACTAAGCTGTCAACAAATTAAGTCAAGGCATACAGAACAAAGAAAAACTCTCCAAATATCACCTGCTCAGACATCTTGTGCTTAAGAACTTTCTCTTTGTCCAGAATTTTGAGAGCCACATGTTCCCCTGTCTCAGAGTTTCTAGCAAATTTCACCTTTGCAAAGGTCCCCTCTCCAATTGTCCTCCCTACCTCGTATTTACCAACTCGGCGCTTAACCTTAGGCTGACTCATCCTCTATGCCGGTTGAAATTTGTGATATTAATGGAAATTTTGCTCACTTGTAAAGAATCTACCTGAAATATATGCCATAACTCAGTTCCTAACTAAACTTTTTCCACAAATTCAATGATGGAATATAGAGAAACTTAATCCAAATCTGAGTCCCTAACTAATAAATGCTACTATTGCTTATAGTTTCAACTTTCAAGCAAAACAATGATTTCAAATCCAAAGATGCAAATTAGAACATTCCTCAATTTCATTTTAAGCATACATTCCAAGGACTATATTTCCGTATTCTGAACAGAAATAGTTCATTGTGCAAGCACTATAACATCCCAAGAGATCCTTTTTTCAAAGTAATGCAGTACATAGAAAGATTCTGGAGGATTTTAAAATCCATGGATATTGGGTTTAAGTGAAAGAGAAATCAGAGGAATTATTAGAATGAAAAATAACCTCAAAAACTGTCTTCCAGTAAATGATAAACCTGCAACCAGAATTTAGCCCAACATGAAACAACTTCGGAAAATTAACACATCACACTTCTAGGATTTAATAACTTTATAGACTGATTTTGTAAATAAAAAAACATCAATGTTCTCGAATTATTGAAAGCACCCAGTTAAAAAAAAAGCACACAAATATCAAATTTCCAGCATTACAGATAAAACATTCCCAGAGATTCACCCTACACAATAATGATATAAAAAAAGAACCTTTCAATGATTTTGGACAAATGAACTGAAATAATGTTCAGGGAACAAATATATGACCCAAAAGGTAATGATGATAATGAAATAACAAAGCAGCATCAAGTGCAAAAAGTTTTGAAATTTCATGTACCACACAAGCAGCATCCTATACTTCAACTATATAAAGGTGGATAAAGAGAGCATAGAGATGGCTGAAAAGAGAGAGAAAGAGAGGATATACTTCAAAACAAGGATGAGAGATTTTGATGTTGTAGTTCAATTTTGACTTTTGATTATGGCCAAAGGGTGAGAGATTTTCATGAATACTCTGCAACCAGACAAAAATGAAACTTTGGCTACATACAAAGCATGATTGCATGAATGCCTAATTTTTATTGTCTCTGCAATTTATTCTGGAAAAAGCAACTTCAACAATTACTTTCCCATACTTAACTATTTCCATAAAATGCACTATGTCTTTTGATAATAACAGCAATATATTTTTTAATAAAATAAGATAGGCACATATTTTTTACATACACAATATATATTTTTTGTTTTATCCATGAGAAGGTATTAAAGTTGTTGATGGAAAGATAACATTGAGAGTTCTAATAAGAATAAGAAACAATTTCGCAATTTGACAGTTTTGAAAAACAACTCAATTCATATGTGATATGTGTCATATTTAGTAACATGACAAACATAATAAAAAAAACTGGTGTTTAAGTCCCAACACAAGGCACTTAATCAAAGCCAATAATGTTGTAAAGCCTGCCACTGCTGACATATACAAAACACTTCTAATAATGCATTACAATATTTTAACTTTTTAGGTACAAACTCTAGCCAAGTGGGTTTAGATAGCAATGAAAATGTTTATAATTGCCATCACAGGTTTCTATATATTAGTGATTAGTTTCCACTTTTTGATGATGATACTATAGGATCCAAAGGAAAAAACCTGCACCAATTACAACTTGGCTACTCAGAAATATTACAACTTTTTAGCCAATTTATCATTTAACTTAGCCTTTTAAGTCATTAATTTTTGTAATATTGAGTTATATTTTACATACCATATGGTGTTAGTGTTAATGCATGATACATGTCAATATCATTCTGCCGCGTGTTCCACTCTTGTACCACAAGTGTACATCTTGGAAGTTTATACAAGCACAAGAATAATAATTGAAGAGCATCATCTTTACTATAGTATTCATGCTTTGAAATAAAAGATATTTACAAACTTTCAAATGGAATAAATACGTATATAGTTATCATGGTCGATGCAGAAGTAGAATGAGATATAAGTATGGTGACAAATGTGATTTTAATAACTAGAGCTGAGGTTGGCATGATTATTTTATGTCCAAAGTCAACATTGTTGAAGTAGGAATGCAACACTATTATCATAATCTCTTTTGGAATAAAAGATAATTATATTGGTTGTGTCTAACAATCACTTGTAACCGATGTCCTTATTTTTTTTATTATAATATTTATTCATTTTATCATCATTTCTATCTGTTAAAGTTTAATTTCAAAATTAATTGATAATATGAAAAAGAAAGATTTAAATCATTCCTGAGACAATGAGGTAAGCGATATGAGATTTGCTTCTCACATTATTTGCATGACTACATCTACATCAATAAAAAAAGACGTGAAGCAACAATGAGCATGCGAAGGAAGGAGAATGCATATTGTCTTTGTTAGCTTGAGCTACCAATGTTGCCAAATATAAGTTTAAAAGAACCAAGCTGTTGAGATAAAAGAGGGAAAATTTGGGAATGAAAATATGACTGATAAGAAGGCTTCTGAAGTTTATGAGAAAAATATAACTAAAGTCATAAGTAGTTAACTAATAACTACCAATTTAAATTAATGACTACCTTAAAGATTCATGCAAGGTACTTTATATATGTAGAATGTATTTTTTTGTATTACAGAAACTATATATTCTTGCACATAAATATTCTGCCTATACTTTTAACCCTGTGAGGATCATGTACAAATACTTTTCAACTCTAGAGGATCACAATTTTTCAACTCCTTAGGATCCTTGGCATAACAGTAATTTGGTAAGGTTGTATATTTTATAACTTGGAGATCTTGAGTCCAATTATTGGTTTGCAAGAGTAAGTTTACATACATATACACTCTTCAACATCCTGTACTTAGCTGTCATTTTTATATAAATTTGTTTTTACATTTCTGCATAAGGTATTCAACCCATATACTGGATTACAAGGAAGAATATTTCATAGTTATGTTGCACATGAGTATATAGCTACAGGTAAATTTGCAATGATTTGTAAATTTGAAGATCCTATATATCTTTTCCTGCATATAATGAGTTAGCTATTGATTAGGCAAAGAGGGCGCTTGAGTCAAAGGAATGATGCATACAGCTTGGGAAAGACCTTTCCTGAGCGATAGCAGAAGAGTTTTGGCTTGAGCGTAGCAGAAGAATAACACAAGTAAATATTATCTCTATTAATGAAGAGACATACTTATTTTTCTTTATTTTCAATGACATTATTCACAAATGCTATTATTTGAGTGAGTTGAACAAAATAGAACAGCTTTTGTATGCACACATCTTAAAATCTATCCATATCTACGTCTTTTTGTAAACACATTTATATCCATATTTCAGAATTTTTATTTTTTTCCTTAAAATATTGTAATCTAAAATCAAACTCTTCAGGGTGACTACTATCAAGTTGAACAATATTTTAGGATAGCCATAATTGTTAGTTTTGGATCACATGAATCAAAACTGAACTTAGGTATTGGTTATATAATGAAAAACTAGTTAATCAAAGGTTGTATGTCACCTTAAGTGCATCATAAAGGCTTCTTCCAGACACTTCAAGTAATGAGAATGTTTATTTTTTTTTTATACACAAGTAATGAGAATATGATATCTCAAAAGTCTACACTCTAAGGCAAAATCTTTCTCTATGACTTGATCCATTAAATTCCATGGCCTTTCTATCACTCATTTCTGATCAAGTTTATCAGAGCATCATCAAATCATAAGAAAGCATATGAAAGTGGTTTCACTGTTGCCAACCATACTGTTGGTTGCGGTTTCCACCCATCATGTTTGAGCCTCGGCCACCTGCTGACCCACCATATGGACCTTGCTGGGTATAATTTGGAGCTCCAACTCCAAAGCCGCCACCACCACTTTGAGGAGGATAAGGTGCCCCTCTCTCTTGAGGAGGATAAGGTCCACTGCCATAACCCCCTGCTCCTCCTTGAACTCCACGATTCGGGTGATTGTATCCTCCACCAGAGTTCGCACCGGGGGGATATCTTCCTGGCCCACCAGATGGACCTCGAGGCTTCCCATAATGATGACTAGGTCCACCAGGATGAACTTGTTGAGAGCCATGAGCTTGCTGGTTAGGTCCTGGTCGCATTTGGGCATGTTGCCCAGACTGCTGAATGGGGGGAGGACGGGTGTGCTGCTGCGGGTGTTGCATTTTCTGACGCTTAGCCATTTCTTCATTTTGCCGTTGTTGCTGGCGCTTTTTCTTTGTCTGAAACTCATGTGACGACTCATACTTGGGTAAACTGATCCATACATAAAATAAGTAACTAGTTCAAAAAATTAACCAAGAAGCATTAATCGAATAGAACTGACCGTACCTAGTTTGTAGACAAAGCATTTAATAACAGCTACCAAGAAACAATTGGTTGAATAGAAACAACAAAGTCCAAAGGTAAGACCAAATTTTGAAAATAAAAACTATAGTACGTGATAGTTGGTCATACCTTTTGGGATCACACGGTAATGGATCAGTCCAGAAATATTCGGCATCAAGTGCATCTTTGGCAGTAATTCTCTATATAAAGTAAGAAATAAAATTGACAACCATGTATTAGGCTGCAGATCATGACAATTATTCATCATGGAAGTTTATGGTCCAGTGGTGAATAACAAATTATCATTGGATTACACTGAAAATAACACATACCTTTATATTTTACAAATGACATGATAGCATAAAAAACTTGTTTAAAGCACCAACATTATGCCATCAAATTATTGTGTGCATCATATTGAAAACAATACATATGCCTCTCAAATGAAAATAGATGCACACTATTTTTATCTTGAGTTTAATGCGAGACTTGTAAATATATAAGATATTTAACAATTACAAAACAATAGTGGATACAGTTAACCTTGTCAAATTATAACAGGTTGAGTGATACAAAATAAAATGGAATAACAGGTATTTGAAGCGCTTAAAATAGCATTGAAGACTCCTTTAACTATTATTAAATCAGACCCATAAGTGAAGAAATGATACCTTAGCTGGATCTAGTGCCAGCATCCTCTCCAACAATTCCAAAGCATGATGATCAAAACTATAATTCAACTCATAGGAAGAAAACCCTTTCAGGTGACTATAAAACCATAAGATAAAAAGGTATATATGAATACCGATACTCATACTTACTGCCTAAAAACTTCCCTCAGACGTCTTTTCATTGGCCTTGTTGGCTTAAATTGATTATACCAAGGAATCTTAGAAACCCCAGGCCAGATCACCTCATCTGGTGCTCCACACAGTTCAAATATTTTATTTAATTGTTCTGGCTACAATAATTACAAAGGAAACAATAATTACCATGTACATATGATAAAAGCAAAATATGGAATGAATGTAATACTAAAATTTTCAAAAGTATTGAACATGTTATATCCAATAATGTAGCCAGACATTGTCATAAGCATTAATTTTACCCTGACGAATAGTATAAATATAACATTGAATAGAATGCATAAATTGGAAATGAATAAACATCATTAATCTTCAGAACAAAATGACAGTTCTTAGAGGCAAAATATTATGAGTGTAATATCTATGCATTGTCAATATAAAGATTTAGACACACTCAGTACACCATCCACCATTAATTTGTATTACTCTTTTTGAAGAGTCAATGAAGATTAAACATGAATGATAGATGATGCAGTGACAGTGTAAAAAATTCATACACTGTATTGCATAATTTTTTTTCTTAAATATTATTTAGCTAGGCAGGTTGGCGCCGTAAGAAGGAAATAAATGTAAAGTAACTTTGATGAAATAAACAGGTTATTTTCTGATTGTGGCAACCAAGACCAGAGACATTTAGAATATGCAGAGAAAGAAATATGGAAGTAAGTATTCAGAGACAGAATATGAAGAGCCGTAAAATAATATCAAGAATCTCTTTTTCCAGACATTAATGCATAGCTGTATTGACAATATACAAGATAAAACCATATCTAGTCTATAAACAATATCACATGAATCACTCACTATTTTGCCTATATCTATCTACTATGATGCAAAGAATATCACTAACCTCATCTTTTCCTGGAAAGATAGGCTTCCCATGAAGAAGCTCAGCAAAAATGCACCCAACAGACCACATATCTACTGCTGGCCCATACTTCGTTGACCCTAGCAGTAACTCAGGTGGCCTAAATATATAATGACAAAATCAATACATGCACTGTCCAATCACATAACCCTCACCCCTTTCTTGATGAACTCTGATGACACCAATTACCTGTACCATAAGGTGATGACACGATTTGTAAGATTTGCATTGTGGTCATTAGAAACTGATCGTGCCAATCCAAAATCTGCAAGCTTCAGATTCCCTTCATTGTCTATAAGAAGGTTTGACCCTGCAGCAGAACAAAAATACATCAAATAGGAGAAATAGATATGCATGAAAATCTAAAAACTTTACCCAGTTAATACCTACAACTCACAAGCACGGATATCAGATACGAGACAAGTTCAATATGGGGATACACCTTTTGTTTAAAAACAATTAACATACAAGTACGATAGAAGATGACAGTTCATAACAACAACAAAATATATTTATCTCCAAACATATGAATGCATCACAAGAGCCCATAAATAGAGCAAAATATCTGGACTACTTTATGATTGTAGGGAAGAGTGTCATTTTTGTTATTTTCAGCTTAGGCCATAGTTATTGCAAGTACAATGCAAACTAACATTTATTGAGTATCTGTTACAATATCAGTATTGGGTATATATCTGACATCACTAAGGCATGCATTTGAAAGTACCTGTCCTAGGTTAATACACATACCTTTGATATCACGATGCAGAACTTGATTTATATGACAATAGTGAAGCCCCGTCAAAAGTTGTCTCATATAACACTTCAGAAGGAAAACACAACTCAGACAACACTAAAATGGAAATTTGCTCATATATGAAATGACACTTGATAGATGCCACCTTTATATATAAATGGAAGCTATTAACAGTAATACCTTAATTTGGGGAACTGTAAATCTCATCCCAGGACGATCAGCAAGACCTGTCAAATCATGGTCCATGTATTCAAAGACCATATAGATGCCACCTTTATATTTGTTACCATCTGGAATCCCCAAAAAAATGAAAATCATATAAACTAGGATTGTAAGGATCTAAGAGAATTAAAAGGGTGTTGATAGATATATCCACATAGCTTAAACTATAAAGCATATTTTGTGGTAGTTGCTACTGTAATTGTAAATGCGGTATTTGGCTTAAAACTTGCCTGGCCTTCCTTGTTCATCTTTCTCGGGGCCTGAAAAAACAAAATGTTAGATAAGTGCAACAATTTTTTTAGCATAAATCATTTTAACAACAAGCATGATTATACTTTAATAGCAGCACCTGGAGAAGTGATGATTTCTTTAAGCTTGATCACATTTTCATGGTGTAGTTTCTTTAGAATTTTGATTTCTCGTATAGCAGTTATGGGAAACTGCGATGACAAAATTGACAATACAGTTCAGAGGACAATAATACAGTAGTAACAGATTGTAGCTGCAACTTCTGATTTAGATCCACTTAATTGCACGTATAATGAATCATTTGTGAAAGAAAAAGGGACATCAGGAAGTAACAAAGTAAGTGAAACACCAATAATATAATAATAAACAAAATATTCAAAGACATACTCCCTCTCTCTCGTTATCCATACGTATTTTCTTCAGGGCAACAATTTCACCTGTGCTGATCTCTTTAGCCATGTAAACTTGACTACAAGCAAGAACATATGAAGGCACAGATCAGTTATCTTCAGACAAGAACAAAGTGGTAAAAATGTTTTATGGAACATAAAATAGGAAAATAATCTGTTTCCTAAGATAAAAAGAAATTAAGCATTTCAAAGATCAATTATCATATACGTAAGGAAAAAATCCAATCTCCAAAGAAAAAATTGTAAGGATAAGAAAGCATTTAAGCAAATGGAAATGACGCCCAAAGAAAAAATTACTGTCACAACCAAAAAAAAGTAAAGGCTTTGGAAACAGAAAATGGAAAAGGAGTAGTTGTTGACTAGTTCCAAGATTGATTCCAATAAGAAGGCAAAGAACCAAACAAGAAAGAATGGAGGAAAAAAAACAATTTCAACTTT